AGTGACTAGACACGGGGTTTTGATTGATAACTGAATATACTGAACGCTTAAAACTTGTAACTACAAATAACCAGAACAGTTGCACCAGTTTACACACACTATGGATCGCTACAGCTACAGGATAACATAAAAATCTTCTCTCTCTTCATGAGTCGTTGCTAGGTAATAGCTGCTAACAATGCAACTCAAGATTCAAGACTTACTGGACTACTGTGGAGTGCCCAGAAGCGGCTACCTCTTCTTGTTCCACTATGTGGCTTTCAGGCGCCATAGCACAATGTAAATAAGGAAGACTTCACAAGTCAATATTTCTGAACTAACAGACTGTCAGTCAACAGTAACCTAAAGAAATAACAGGAAATTGCACCACTGAACCTAGACTAGGGATGCTTGAACCACGTGATATCCAATCCATGCAAACACAACTCACTTTAATGCAGAAAACTGGAACGTGATATGGTTTATAATTACTTTTGATAGGATCTTGTACAAAAGATGCTGCATCTGGACCCAAACCGGAGACCCACCGCTAGCCAAGTTCTGCAGCACAACTGGATCCAACACAGACACGTGCTGCCCACACATCGCCTACCTCTGCAAGAAGCAAGTGTTATTAAGGTAGTACTGAGTTTCATTTCTGTGCAAACTATTGTGACAGAGAAAAGGAGGAATTGTGGTGGGGGATGTCGATAACTGACTTCAAACCAATAGCAGTAAACTAACAAGATAAGGTGATGTCAAAGGGTAGAGTGTGCAGTTTCTGTAGTGTCTGTTGCAGACACATTTTTTTGCATGTGAAAGCAGTGAGAAAAAGAATCATGGGTAAGGGCAGAAACCGCATTTCAACTGATATCAGGAAACTAAAGTGAGACAGTGTCCAATTATTCTAAATTTCTGTAATGTCAGCCACAAACACATTTGTATACAAGTTGTACAGTTTATTTTGTCACATGAGAATTCTGGTGACAAAACCTTACTTTCCCTTCTCAATTGCTGAAAGAAAGTGAACAACAACTGTATTGCCTGAAGTGTCACTGGGAATGAAGAGTGCATGAACATGAAGTCATACATAATAAGTGTCTTAAATCTTATTTGTGCCACTTCTTAAGTTTTCTTTATTCATTCTGTTCTGTTGCTCTAATTAATTATTGTAAAATGAATTGATAACACCGTCTAGTGTGACTCAGCATATATTTATATAAGGGAAATACTGCTGCCAGGACCTCAGAGGTCAGCAAATAACACCTCCAATCTCCTCTTTTGACAGAAGAGCCACAGAGACACAAACCTCGGCAATTCAAGATTTTAAATATTAATAAAACTAATAATATATTTTTAACTTAACACCGTTTTAACTTTAATAATTAAAAATCTTTATACAAAAGTTTAAGCAGATGTACTAGTGTTTCCTTAGCATGTTGTTATTGCCTTTGGAAGATGGTCACAACTGACCAAAACATGTAAAGGCACTATATAAATATACACTGAGTCACACTGGATGGTGCTGTCATTTCATTTAAGTAGGTTTTCTGTTCACAGAAGACTTTCACAGGATAGATGTTCTTGGTAATACAGTTTTAGAAATCACAGCTAACTGTGGATCTTAAAAAATAGGATGGGGGAGTGTGGACTGGATTTATCTGGTGTAGGATAGGGACCACTGGCAGGTCCTTGTGAACATGATAATGAACCTCAGAGTTCCATAAATTACTGAGAATTTCATGATTAGCTTCTAGAAAAGAACTGCTCCTTGAAGTTAGCTGGATATATCGAATCACCTGTATTTAGTGTTACATATACCTTATGTAGAGTTATTGGCATAACAGTTACCAAGCTGTGTGGGAAAGCTTCCTATGCAGTTAGAAAAAGAGAGATGTGCATTGAGTTAGAACTGCACTGTATAATTTTTCAAGATATTGTCATATGTCTGGGGTTCCGTGACAAGAAATGAATGGGTTCCAGAGTAGGCGAATATGTTTATTGGATAACTCATTTACAATTACAGCTACAGTCACTTTGAAATAACGTCTTCCAGATGATAACACCTGGCTAGTCTGTCGTCTTCTGACCTCTGATCTGGTCTCTTATCTTCCACAGTCACAGACACCTTCTTGAAGGATATCCATTGTAGCGGGAACTGCAGTAGCTCTGGGTTCATTCCCATCTGCCAATGTACATGTCACGTTTACGTGTTTACGATTGCCACCTAGGCAATGATGTATTATTCACTGTTCCTTGTTGTATGGGAAACATAGCTACTAAGCTGTTGTCTAGCAATGGACGCCCGCTCAGATATTCTGGCTTTTAGGTGACACGCCACAATATATAATTTCTATACTAATACTTGGACATCATCTGCACCCTTTTTCAGATATTATGTGTGTGTGTGTATATGTGTGTGTATGTGTAGAAGCATATTGTAGCTCAGTGTTTGTTTCATTTGTCCAGGGTGCAATGGCAGCCACATACCGTGCTATGAGCCAGAGTCCTCGGCCACCTCATTTAATGCCCGTGTTCACTTCAGAACTCGCGCAACGACGCTGGAGGAAATCCCGACCCAAATCATCTACAGAAGTATGAAATGATGATCTTAACACATGGATGTGTGTGTGACAGACTCTTTGTCAAGAGATATAGTGAAGTCAGTAGTGGCTATATGATGTGTGTGCAAGAATGCCCGAGAACACTGGGCATAAAACTTGTGTTGTAGTTTAAAGAGGAGTGATTCTGCATTCAAAGTGATTTGTGCCACTGAACTTTTCTCATTTTGGCTGTAACAGTAACCTACAATAAAATGCAGTGTTAGACAGCCATTCTGGAAGAAGAGGTTCGAAGCTAGTGATTACCTTGTCATCATGCTATGTAACAAAAGCTGGACAGGTAAGAAAAACCTATACACATTTCTTTCTTAAAGTTAACTTGGCTGTTGGAAGCCTGTACTTAGTGATACATTGCTTAGAGGTAAGTAAAGTTTATCCCTAAAAAAAAAATAATATTTTTAAAAACTTATAAATGTTCTTTCTCTATTCCCTTTCCAGAATTAATGCTGGATATATCAAAACGAAATGATGGAATGAAATCAGCTGTGTTCTTGAGTGTGTGCTCTTCAAACTCACTTCATCTCATTGTTTCATGTGGTATGACAGTGGCATTACTAGAAAACTGGCACATTTTCACAATAGAGAATATACTTTATGTTTGAGCATGGATTTTTTAATTGTTTAAGAATCCTCATATTTGCATCTCATGAGCCATGCAAGATTGTTTCTCCTTTATATCATCTTGTTAAATATCTTTCTGAGTGTAGCAGAATTGTAAGATTTAATTATTTGTGTTGTTCAAATGCATATGTTTGCGAATTCTAAACAGAAGTGCTTCCATACCTCTTTTATCTGTGACCAAATAATATTTGTTCATAAAATGAGAAGAGTGGAGTAACAAAATTGTGTACATGTGTTTTATATTTAATTCCTTGAGTGGTCAGTATCTAGTCCATCAGGAGCACTGCTTTTCCAGATGGAGGATTGACAGGTTTATGTGTTTATATATTTCTGTTAGGTCTTTAGTGTGACTGATGTACATTAACAGAGTCTTTGTGGCCCTAGTCATGCCACTGTAAACCCCTGAAGGTCACAGTTCTAGTTCAAATATTATGCGTAACATGCATATAAAATAATAAGTATTACTTCTAGAAAATTAAAAAATAAATAAAGATGCTAGTTCACTTCGTATAATCAGCCATTCAGCATGAAATTATGTACAGCAAGTCTATATTTTTGTGTATAAAGAACATATGAATTCTAAGTCTGCTTCTTGATAATTGGAAGCATGCATATTGTTGTCAGATTAACAGATGTCTAAATTGATAATGGTTGTGGAAATGATTTGTGCCAATGTGTTGTATAGATAAAGTATTCACACATGTAACTATAACATAAGGCAATTGAAGATAAAGCAGAGAACCTCTGTGAGGTGAGTGTGCTGCTCTTTGGCCTTACTTAGATATGCAGGTTTTTGCACCCACTACTTGTTTGGACATCTGATAATTTATTTTGTGCTTATTACATATGAATATGTAACATATTGAAAATAGAAGAGAAAAGAGAACTGAATAAAGGTTATATGCCATATTTGTGATTATTGTACCAGCATGGACTCTAAAAAGTATTGTGAATATAGATTGTTGATGAGTTAAAGTTAGTATTTGTGATGTAAATCAGTCCACTGTGTTTTTATAAGTTCTATGAAGAGAATTTAGAGAGACAAGCCTGACCAGAATCAGTTATAAAAAGTAAGTATGTACATAAGCACGCACAGACACACATACACATGTGCATAGAATACTTTCATTCATAGCTGTGCTCTGGTCTCGGAACAGAAGGAATAAGTTTTTGTTTTGTTTTTTGACTGCAAGCTTAGTGGACATGAAACTATTGATGAAAACAGGGAGGCATTCTCCACAGTTTTGGAATATTCTTGAGAATGAAAGAATTTAAATTTCAGTTGTGTGGCAACAGTAATGTGCAGTGTATAAATTCTCTTCTCAGGGTGGCATAGTTATATATATCTGGGCATGTCATAATGTTATCTGTGAAGTCACTCTAGAGTTCCAATATAGAATTCAGTATCTTCAATACTGAAGGCTTTTGTGATGATAGGATTTACACTTGAAGAATTGCTATGCTGTGAGATTTGAGATCTTCATGGCAGTGACTATGAAGATTTATGTCCCCTTGGATATGATTCCATGTACTTTGGTTGATGGATACCGTTGTTTTCAAAGAACATGCCACCTCCATCATCAGGGTAGAGTGGTAACTTTGTGACCCTGAGGATGAAAGACACACAGTGGTATCTGTCTGTAATCTATATTGCATCATATCCCAGGGCAGTAATTTTGAAGCATTGTTAATGATATATACCCACATATGTTGAAAGTTCATGCGCTCTTAAAATTGTGATATCCATTCACTTTATTTGAAGTGTAAGCACAATTCTGGAAGAATGTTGTTTTGTACAGTCACTGTGGCTAATGTTTCATTCAACTGAAGGCATCAAGCCCCCTGTTGGGGCTTTGTCTTCTAAAGATACCCTAGTGCATTTATTGGCATCTCTTCCCTACTACAAAACCTTCATCAGAGAGTCTTACCTAAATTCTTTTTGTGAAAAATCAAGTCAAATATGATATCAGATTATTTAATTTTTGGCTGAAATTAAGCTAGTGTAACATTGTACTCTCCAGTTACGGTAGCCGAGCGGTCCAAGGCATGTACTGTCTTTGCTCGCTTGGAAACCAGGGTCGTGGGTTCGAATCCCACTCAGGTCATGGATGTTTAGTTTGTGTGTGTGCATTTTTCTGTGTTTGTGTACAGGTAGAGGCCTTGTGATGAGCTGATCACCCGCCAAAGGAGTCCTACCGAATATGTAAGATCTAGAAAAACCGAAGTGAACGGAGAAGTTCGTGGAGGTAGGCCTAGGCCCACTGGGGCTGTAGTGCCAAGGAAAAAAAAAAGATGGTAATCAGTGTAATTCACTTCATATACTTCAGTTTATGTTTTTTAAGGTTATAATTTATTGCATGTATGGGCTGCTACTGCAGTTACACCACTTATTCTTAAGCCTTAGAACACTTTTCCCATATATTACATTAGGGTATTTTCAATGGTATTACTGATCCACTGTCCAAGAATATGCTACAGGCAGATTTATTAGGAGCCCCACTGCGTGTAAAGTAGGGGTGAATGGATATCATTTTGTTTGTAGTAGTATGATTTGCATTAGGTACGGAACTTATTTAAGTTTGTACATACAAAGAATGGTTTGCGAGTACAGTATATGATGAAATTTGTAGTACAAGGTTGCATGAGCAACTGTTAATACTTAAACAATAAATTACAGTTTGCAACATATCAGTGCTATTTTTCAAAGCTAGCATTCACTTTAAAATAGCAAATACTATTTCAGTCAGCCCATATAAAATGATGCTAGAAGAAGATGAAAATCATTCTTATTTTTTAAGATGTATAAGACAAGAATGAAGCATATCACCACTTTGGCCTCTAATACAAAACTGTTCAGCTTCCTTGGTTTCCGTTGGGTTCTTCATTAAAATTGATTATAAATGCATGGATCCTAGTTTTTAAAATAAAAATATTTGTAAATTAATGAAATCATTACCGAATGTAGAGATCTAAATTTCTCACTGCAGTGACTATGGAGGACAATATCGTTGGTTTGAGATATCATATAGTGTGATAGATTGTTACCAGCATATTGGTGCGTGCTACCTGCCACTTCCATTATCTGCTTTTAAGATGGAGAATAATCGTGAAGTCACATCTGAGAAAGCAGTAATCTCCATTAGTCAATGCTATTTATAGTGTAGCACTTTTTTCAACATATTAATAATCTTGTTTTGAAATTCTGTAAATGGCTTATATCACAGTTTCTTAGGGTCAGTGTGAACTGAGTTTGGTTGGGCAATGATGTTTGATTTGTATCTTTGCATTTCATTTAATTGGTTTCTTGCAATAAATGCGCTACCTCATATCTCAACAGGTAAGTTTTTTAGTGAAAAGACCTGGCACTTTGGAAGAGTCATGATTAATTTTGGACACAGAAATTTTCACATTTATAGAACAATATTTCCTGTCTCAAAATAACTGAACCACAACATTCAGTTCTGTATTGTTCTCTGTGGTGACTTCAAGGTTCTGTACACATGGCCCATACATAACAATGTTGTATTATCCTTGTAGTTTGATATGAATGTTACTAGTTTTTAGATTATTGTACAATGTCAGTTTTTGCTGTATAAACATGTATTTTGTTCAAATAGTTGTCAGAAAATGTATACAAATCATATATTAATATAGATATTGAAAATAAATATTTTTATGGAAAATTTGTCTTTGTCTTTGAATCAAGATGAATTCTTTTAAGATGAGAACATTGCATGCTGAGTCTTCTGTTTGGCAGCTGTGGCATACTCAGTTTTCACTGCTGAAGGGCTCTTTGCATATAGTGTGTGACAGGAATCTCACACTTAATAGAATATGAGAAATATTTGTAGGGCTTTGGGACTTGAACATTGTGCTTACAGTATTAACATATATTTTCATTTTTTTTTCTACTTATAAAATATAAGAGAACATTTATAATAATAGTATTGGGAGTTCTTTTCAATTATTAAACCAGGTGATATTGCAAGCCCACTTTTGTTTCTAGTGACCATTTTGTCAAAGATATTGTGGTGTATTTAATTTGTATGAAGGTAAAGCTGTCCCTTTGTATAATTAAGCACCATGCCATGAAGACATTTGGGGGAGTGGAGGTATACTCCAGACATTCTTAATCTTGGCACAAGATGGAGGTGAGCAGTCAGCCGATTGCTGTGTGACCACCCTAACAGCTAACCCCACCTCCCAAGGGAAAGATTCATCAACACCCACTGGATAATTTTATGGGCAGAACCCCAGAGCCAGTCAGGATGCTGTGAAGGAGAGAGAATATCAACCTGTAATTCCCCAACATCCAGCCTATACCCTAATCACTACAGTGATTGATCTATCCCACTCCCAGTAAAGATAAACATTTAATGTAAAGTGAGCTATAAAATTATCAAAGATATGTATTTAACATAAAATGAATTGTGTATCATACTGTCACAGTGGGGGGGGCAGTAGTAGGGGCTGTTATGTTGGCAGTGACACACTTGTCAGAAAATAGCAGCCTATGGTTATCCAGGTCTGGGGTGGAAGGGTTGGTAGCCTTCTCCACATGACAAGACTACAGAAGATCCTCAGTTTCACATGGCAGAACAGGCTTAAGGTCAACTCTAAAGCTGATGACAGAGTAGACTAGCATAGTGACAACACTGTGTACACTTAATTTGAGAGAGACCCTGTAGAAATTTCAGATAGGTTACTGCTGTCTTGGGTTAGGATTTTCATGATTTTTCTGAACCCAAGGAAATGCTGGGATAGTACCTAAAAATTTCTTAGATTTGGGTGTGAACGTCGGAACACTGAAGGCCACCTGAAGATAGTATTTTTAGAATTTCCTGCAGCTTGTAATATAATAGTTTACACAATGGTTTACGAGGTTGAAACATTTAATGTAGGTTCCTGAAATAATGTAAGGTCAGATCTTTAAAAACCTGCCTACAGTTTACATTTTCTCATGATGGCATTTCCGGTGCAACATTCTGTAGGGGTAGAAATGTTTAAATGGTTGTATCACTGCAAGATTTTCCCAATGTATATTGTGACACAAGCAACGCCACAAAATATTCTATAGTGAAGCACCTTTTCTTTCCTCTTTCGCTCTCACTGGACCCTTTAACCTTTCTTAAATTACGTAGCCCACAAGGCAACGTTGCTCCTAGGCACCTGTGAAATTGTGGGGGCGGGTGGGAAAAAACCGGCAACGAAACTGTTCCGTCTCTAAGTAATGGACAGGCAGGAAAGTGGAGAAGCTATCAGCAAGGCGGTTTTAGAAGAACATCGGCATATTGAAAGGAGGTTGACATGTCTCCCTGAGTCAGCGCCAGAATTTACCCGTGCCAGGTTACAAAAAGCGAGGATTATATATCTCCTTACTGGGTACGTCTGAAGTTATTAACTTTGGCCTTATAGGTTAATATTTTCTCATGTTGTATCAATTACATTGTAACTGTGACGCTTATTAAATATGTTTCTAATTATGTTAACGTGGTTCAGTGTTTAGTCTGAATTAGCAGGACGGAACTTAGACGAACAGATACCTAAGTAACTGACAAGCTAGAGCAGGGATGGGTACTTACACGTATATTGGTAGGCAGGTACGTCACAAGTTCAGATAACCTGTGCGGGCGGCGGCCCATAGCCCTCTCCGCCCTCTCCGCGCAACCAGGGGTAGAATGTGCTTAAACCTTCCAGGTAAAGGGTGAAAATTTCCGTGTGCATAATGAATTAAGCACTATGCCATGAAGTCGTATGGGGGAGTGGATGTATATATACGGACGTTTTGGTCTATGTTGTAGTAAGAATTACTTTTTATATTCCGTTTAATATTGCCCTTACTTTCAAATGTTTTTCACATTAATAAACGTTCTGCCAGCCTCGAGGGATACCACAGTCCGTATAGCGTCTGGCTACGGGTTGGAAGGCCGACGGGTCAGAGTTGGAGTCCCGGTAAAAAAAAAAAAAAGCACGAACAAAATATGAAAAAGTTAATTTATGTAATAATTATAAAACAAACTCCGTGGTTTTAGTCCGCAAGCGAACTATACCGACCGAGCGACCGTCGCTTGTCAGGGAAGTTAATAATAATAATAAATTTATTAACAAATATATAAGTTGTTACGGAGAATTGAGAAATGTAAAATATAAATATTTAGAAAGAATAATAATAATTGAATTCAAATCAATTCAATTGATTTTTTGTTTAGGTACGTGCAAATTTAACAGCCCGGAGGCCAATTACAAAGTTAGCATGAGTACGTAGAACACAATGTTAGTTAAACAAAATAGAAATTAAGGCAGTCTTAGCAATAAATTAATATAATTCCATGAAAATGAAAGTTATCATTAATGAAAGAGAGGGGCACGCGGTAGCGTAGTTGGTTGAGGCACTATGCTATAAGCCGGAAGGTCACAGGCTTGAGTCCCGATGAAATATATTTTTACAATTGACCTAATCCTTCCAGTCGCACTATGGCCCTGGGGTCTACTCAGCCTCTAACAGAAATGAGTACCAAGAATATTCCTTGTAAGTATATGGGTGTTTAATAATAATGTTGCTTTGAAAAGTGTTCGCGATGAAGCCTGTACAGGGTTTTGTCTCACCCTTAAAAACTGGTATTACGAGTGTTGCTTGAAGCTCACGTCCATCCTTCGATGAATGCCTTATTTTAGTCTTCAATGCAGCGTCTTTTGTCGAGATCTAGTGCACAAACCTTCCGCCAATCACGTTCCATAAAATGTCAACGTTTGGAATTCTCGCATGCCGCTAGAATTGAAACGAGATTTTACGTTCGTTCTTCGATTTTTTACCAAAACCTTTTATTCAATATGACTGAAGAAATCTAATAATCACGATTTCACCTAGAAAGGAAATCGGTCTTCTCTCGCCTAAAATAAAATTAACGACATTTTCAACTGGCGTTAACTTTCGACCTAACTGTTGCTAACGCATTTCAGACATGCTACAATCTTCAGAGTTAATAGCAACTGAATTAATCTTATTGCTGGAGGACAA